TGGCGCAGAAAGTGACTGCCGGCCATGAACGGGCTGCGGAAAAGTGAAAAACAACAACAGTGGCAACATTGCTAAGGACCCAATGCAGTTCCAGTCACGATTTGGGGACAACAACAACAACAGCAGCAAGAGCAACAAAAACAACCACGAGATGCTTGATTCAACAATTGTCTATAAGTATTTACGAGGCAACGCCGACTGCAAATGTTCTCTTGGCATGTGTGGGTTTGGAGCAGGAAGTCAATTACCGCTCTAAGGAAAAGATGCTGATGTTTATAACGTTGTTGTTATTGTGGCTATTGTTGTTTTTGCTCTTGGTGTTGTTGTAACTGCATGTTGTTGCTGTTGTACTTGGCACTCAGCCAGCCAGCTAGCGAGTCGTTGAAGCTAAACGCTTTACGGTGGTGCAATACGCAAAAATATTTGTCAAAAATGGAATATATTTTGCTAATACTTGTATATGGTTGAATCATAAATTTAAACTTACATTTAAATATAAGGCAGTTGAATTGTAGAGAATTGAGGAGAACTCTAAATCTAAATCTTGAAAATATGTTCTCAAATTTTTAACTTCCAATTCGTTTATTCAACTTTCAATTTGTTCTACAACTTCCTTTTAGTTCAATCAAAAGCTAAGTGAATTATGTGTTATATCAGCGACAAGTTGTTTATTTCAACTCAAATCTATTTATTTATTTGTAATTGCTTAGAAAGGGCTTAACTTTAGCAAATTTTCTACAGCTTTTACTTTGCGTGTGTTGCCATTCAATATTTCGTTTTTCAAATCATAAAGGGCTGGTCATTAAATCACTGTTTGATTTTATTAGTTATGGCTATTTCTTTAAGCCATTATCGATGTTATTCCCGAAACATTTTTGTTCTTGGTGGAAAAGTGTTTGTGAGCCACTGTGCGCTTGTCTCAAATTTGCAATCTCGGCGCGCGCGCGAAACTTTCTCAATTGAAAATTGCATTTGGACGATGACGATGACGCGACGCTGGCAGCGATTTCCCTCGAATTTTCCGCAGTCGCTTGGCTTGTTCAGCACCAGCGTCTTTAGCTGTTTCTTTAGCTTCAGCAACAGCTCTGGCTGGAAGTCGTTGCCATTTTGCCGCTAGCCGTTAACCGAAAAAAAGTGTGTCAAGTTTTCGACAAAGATCAAGCACATCTCAGATAGTAACACACACACACACACACAATCACACACGCATGTACCTCAAGAGTTGCTGTTTCTGCATCCGCTGGCCATGCATTTCCAGTCGCCAGTCGGCCGTTGTTGCCAGTTGCTGGTTGCCATGACCAAATGTTCTCAAATTCATTGCAATTTGGCTTAGATTTAGTTGCAATTTTCGTAGCTGGCAGTGAAAGTGCTAGAAAACGTGAATGTGAAACAGTCAAAATGATTGGCAGGCAGGCAGCAAGCTGGGAAGCAGGCAAGCACCAATGTGTAGCACACATAATTGGCCAGCACAAGAAAGCGCCATCCAGGCAGCAATTTAACAGCAACAATCGCAAGAAAAGTAACACAACAAGGGTTAAGTCTCCTAAAAAATTGATGATCAATGAACAGTATCCATCTAAACTTGTTCACGGCCTAAGCCCATTTAAGGCAATTTTAAGCAATTCTGTCCAATTTATTTCAATACTAATAAAAACTAAGTACTAATTAAACTTTAGATTAGTCACAGTTAAAATAACTCTATATATTTCCTATAAATGTGTGCACATTTTGAGACGGAAATGGTTTGGTTCGTATGTAAAACGCTGGTTTCTCATTTAAGAAGAAAATTTTTAAAAGTTCCCTTAATCTATACAAATAAAACATTCTAAACGGGCCTAACCCGTTTAACGATCGGCCCAATATGCCAATGAGAACATCCATGAAGACATAAAAACAAGCCTCTGCATATAAAAATACAATTACACATGCAAAACACAATCCTGATACGCTGGAACATTCAAGTACTTCTTTTAAAATAATGTACACCAAATGTTCTATTTAAAAACCTAAAATATTTTGAAACTAAGTTGTTTAAATACTTAGTACAAATAAATAAATAAAACACCGCTCTCCTGTACACTTATCATACGAAGCACTTAACCGAAGGCGATTTAAGCATCGACAGCTCTTTCATTTATATTCTTTAAATAAACTACCTTTTATTAATATTATTTTAATTCACAATACGATTGTAGGCGATATATCATTTGGAAACAATTTTTTTAACTCCACCCTAGAAGAAATCCAAAATTCGTCATTGATCAGCAAGTATTTGATGCACATTAAAACAATTTGGTCCCTTTCTAATATTATTCAATGGAAAAAAGAAACTGGAACTCGTATTGGAGAAACTGGAAGAGAGTAAATTTCGGGCTAACCCGAATCTTCAAAAAGCTTTATTGTACCAATCACACCGATAACAGCTTTATGATATAAGTAGAACACGGATTTTAATTGGGTCATGAGATCGAAATAAATAAAAAATGATATTGATTTCTGCGCCGTTCGTTCGAATGACAGCTATATGGTGCATCTCCAAATACCATGAGAGACTAAGCAGAACTCATTTGGCTTTTAGATATTTTAATGGAATCCCACAATATTGAGTTCGTTCTTAAGTAGTAGGCACTCGGTTCGCTTCATGCCGCAACCATCACGACAGAAACATGATTTAAAAACACTGTCAAAGTTATCACAAAATTTAATAAAGGACAGATCTTAAATAAAGGTTAAAGATTAAGAAAAATTAAATAAATAAATAAAATATTGTTTAATATACTTTCTTCTTTCAGGAGTTGCGTGAGATATTTTATTCTTTTCTATATTAATTTTACTGTTATTATTATAACTTACGTTAATGTGTTTAAAAAAAAATATATATATATATAAGTATATACAATTAACTTAAAAATGAGAGCCTAGAAATGTCTGTTGAGGAGATCAATACGGTGCTATCTACCCAGCCTCCTCGCCATCTAATATAGAAAACATAACTTTCGATCAAATCAGTTAATTAAACATGAATATTGGCTCGACCAACTGACCTACTCCCTGAGCTGCCCATGAACCAGGAACAGTGAAAAGAAGAAGAAACATTAGAGAGCTGTTCAGGCAGGCCTAGACAGACTGCTCAATCAAACAATCGAGCAATCAAGCAATCAAGCAATCAAGCAATCAATCAATTCAATTTGTCGGCGCGTCGTACCCTTGAAAAGTTCAAAGAACTTTTAAGGCACATTTCGCTGCGGCTGCGGCTGCCTCTGCCTCTGCCGATACGCCGTCTAATTTGATTTTCAAGACATCACCTGGCGACGTGCGCACAGTGGGTTGCATACTGGCTGTCTGGGCAGTGGAGGGCCAAGTCCCTACTCAAGCAGCCCGAAATTGGCCAAGAGCGTAAATGAATGCCGTCGATTGTGCTATATATTCATATGCGCACTTTGTAGTCGCTGATAACCCAGTATCCCAGTTAAATATGAAATCAAAAGCCGTAAAATACAAGGAAAAAAATTACAAATTGGAATACGCAATGCAACTAAAAGAGAGAGCACAAAGAATAACAGTGGACACCGACTAAGTTGAACACATTTTTTGAAAAACACTGAGAGTTGATTCCTTTAAAAAAAGGGCCATAAAGCCTGGATAAATAGGCAACACATTTTTAAATGTGGATGAATAAAAAATATATTCAATTAATAAAATAATCACTATTAAAGCTTCCTGGTACATCCCCTTCTCATCACTCACTCAGCAAGCTACACACCAACACTCCCTGATCTGAGGGCATCTAAGCAGCATGCTCCTGAATGCTGTACTGAATTAGTTTTATAAATAAAATAAATATTAAATACTCAATATTATATTATAAAATAATGTTAATAACTGCATAATGGCACTAAACTAAAAACTAGAATGAGATACATTAGATAGCGAAAAAAAGATAATGCATTAGCCAACAGCTAGTCTTGTCAACGACATCATCATTGTTATTAATGCCTCGTTAATTAAACAATTAATATTCCAATATAATCATGAACCTATGACTTAGGTATAAATGAAAAGTTGAATGTATCTATAAGTAATTCTTCATTTCTATGGGAAAGAAAAGAATGGTCCCAGGCTAAAGCTCTAATATTTGGAGCTTTAGTTCTTCATATATATATGCTTAGCTTTAGAACTATTGTTTTGTTTCTATTTGTTAAGTTTTTGTCCATGATGAGTTTATAATTTGTTCAAGATACTTAATGCTTTCTGAAATTCCATAATTTGAGATGAATTGTCTCTTGTTGGATTAAAAATAATATTGCAACTATTCGATAATAGTTGGAAAATTGTGGATATAGGAGCATTATTTTACCAAATTTTTTATGTTTAATCGTAGCTCAAGCAGACTGATTCTTTAGTTTAGTTCACATTTTTCCCACCTCTAACTATTTGTAATTTGCAACGACGCGTCGTACAGTTTCCAAATTTAAATGCAAATCAATTTTAATGAACTACAGTACAACCTAGCCATCCAAAAACAATGGCTAACTTAATTGAATTATGTTTTGTACAATTCTTGAATTTCTTTAAACGAATTATTATTATTGTTGTAATTCTTGTGTTTTTATTGAAAAGAAACTGACATACATAATTGCAATTCTATTCTATTGGAAGTGAGTTTCTGCTAAGCTAAATAGATGATTAGAGAAGGCCTATTATAAAATAAAGTATTTGCGGGCAGAGTGGAATAGTGAAGCTTCACTGTGGCTTCAAGAAATCCGTTATAAATCAAAGCAATGTGCGTGGGCGTTGAAATTGAAAATGCGCGGGCGACGACAGCCGCAGCTTTGTTGTTGGAGACAACTTGGGCTTAGCCATAAAGCCAATTACTTTCAATTGTCGCAATCGCACACACACACACACACATAGGCATTCGCATACACACACACAATGGCCCAATGGATTTTGGTTATAAAAGCGTCGACTCGAGCGGCTCAACATTTCTTTTGTCAATGATGACAGCCACGATAGTTTACGGCCTAACTCTCTCGATGGTCATGACCGTGGCCATGGGCGCAACGCCCCTGGCCCGCTGGCAGCCATTGGTGCCGCCCCCGCCCCGCTGGGGTGCCAACATGCTTATGCTAAGACGCCACAACAGTATGTGGTAAAAGAATACAGATCTCCAGTTGATCTGAACACTCCGCGCCTAAACGACAGCCATTTGGCTCTTGCAGGTCCCGCCTTCGACTTTTGGACCGAGGACAGTGATACGAATATTTGGGAGCACTGCGGACTCTTCGAGGGCGACATAATGCTGCATCGGGAACTCATTAGGAATGGGCTGCTCAACGAGCGACTCATTTGGCCGGATGCGACGGTACCCTTCTACATAGATCCCAATGATTTCTGTGAGTATCGTAACTAAACAAAAAATAATAAGGGAATCAAATTCGGAAAAGAGCGACAACATTTCTCAAAAAAAAAAGATATGTTATTAATTTCATGAATTCAGATATAGAACACCATCTATTGCGCGTGCAATGGTTTTATATTTGATTGATCTGAACACTGTTCTGTAGAAACTAATTCGCTCTGTTTCCTGTATTTCCTGCAGCAAACAACCAGACCATGATCATACTAAAGGCTTTCAAGGAGTATCACGACAAGACCTGCATTCGCTTCCGTCCCTACGAGCAGGGCGACAAAAATTGGTTGGTGATCAAAGGGAACTATTCGGGCTGTTGGTCTAGTGTGGGGCGACGCCAGGGCGGCCAAGTTCTGAATCTTAACACGCCCAAGTGCGTGACTCACGGCGTGGCTGTGCACGAGCTGTTGCATGCACTCGGCTTCTATCACCAGCAGAGCGCCACGGAACGGGACGAGTATGTGAAGATAAATTGGGAGAATATTCTGGATGGACATGCGCACAACTTTAACAAATACGCACGCACCCACATCAGCAATTTTGGAGTGGAGTACGACTATCAGAGCGTGATGCACTATAGTTCCAAGGCATTCAGCAAGAATGGCAAGGCAACCATTGAGCCCCTGGTAAGGCAGTGAAGTGGAATGGTAAAAAGGGCTTATTAAGAAATTTTCCATTTATTTAGGACCCGTACGCGACTCTGGGTCAGCGGCGTGGGCTGTCGAAGAAGGATATTGCAAAACTAAACGAGATGTACGAGCAGGACTGCAATGAAAATTTCTTCTTCAGCTTCGATCGCTTCTCCGAATATCTGAACAATCTTATTGACTACTTTCAGGGTGATATCGAGGGATTTTTTGGTTGAAACAAAACAGCTTCCATATTTGCAAAATACTTGTATAATAATATTTTCGATAAATTCCTCTCACACCATTGATGTCTCAAATTACATTTCCGCATAGACTGGTAATTGAGAAACACCCACAAATACAATTTTATTTTTATTTTTCTAAGACGATAAAAGATAGTTTTATGTTTAGTAGGTATTACATATATAAATATATATATTCATATATAAAAATACAACTGAATTTAATAATAAAAACAAGTACAAAATATTGGAAGAAGGTAAGCGTAAGTTCTGAAAACCTTTGAGGGAACACATCAGCTTTGATTGACTTCAGAAATTTTACACGAGTACATTAATTCATTCGAGATATAGTACCGATATAGTTTTAGGAATAAATGACAATGGCATGGGAATTGCATTGCATCGAAACTTCTTCAATATCTCGAAGAGAATCTACATCAGCTTTTATTATCGGGAATGTCCGATATGGGAGTACCCTGCACCCTGCAGTTGGGTTTTCATAAAAAGAAGTCATTCTCGAACCAGTCTGTCCTGCCACAGCTAAATGGGTTAGCCTATTAATTATAATAAAAGCAAGAAGCATTGTGTTGCATGAAAATAGCAATATAACTAAAGACAATAGAATAATAATAAATTGTAAGAATCCAGAACACTCTAGGAATCGTCAGATTGAAATAGATTTTTTTAGGGTGGATAATAAAACTGATTAAAGAACTGTGGAAGTAAATAGGGAAGCATAATAAACAAATTAAGGGCCGATTTGCTTGTGTAGCTCGGAGAAAAAGGACAGACAGGCGGACATTGTTTATGCATCGAATACCCATGTCTGTTTATCTTTAATATTTGGCCAACATTATGGAATTACTCGTGTAAAACGGTTCGAAATTGTTCTTTGCTTTGGGTTCAGAGTAGTATTTTTTCAGGAATTCATTGCCATCTTGTAGAAAATTTATTCTTTTAAGTATTGAAGTTTTCGAGTATTATAAAATCATTTTTGTCAAATAATAAAATGCTGCTTTTTTAAGAGTAGTATGTTAGAGTATTTTGCCAGGAATCGCATCTCCGAGTGGTAACTAAGTTATTTCATTTTTTACTTAAAACTATAATTCACATATTCTGGGATCTTAGCCCGCAAAGAAACTGAACTGACTCAGCTCTTCGAGAGTTTGCGAGGCTTCAGCACGCAACGCCTCTGCCTCTCCAGTCTCCTCGGCGGCCATTGTCTCCAGTGCGTGCTTGAGCTCAGCACACCAGATACCTTGCACACCACGCAGACTGAACCGCGTCAAAAGACGCAACAGCATACAGGCACGCATGCGCAACAATTCATGATGACTCTGAAGCAACGATGGGAAGCGCACGCGGGTTTGGAATATGATGCGCTCCACCAGTTCGGCATTCTCGGGCAGGTCGCGCAGCACACAGCTGAATAGAGCCAGCACGGAATTCGACAGACGAACGGCGGCGCTCTGCCTTAAGTCTGTCAATTGAGAGAGGTCCTGTTATCATATTTATCTTAATATACAATTTGTATATGAACTGTGCAAATAGAAATCAGATTGAATAGCAACCGAAGGCAAAACAATATGCGAGACAATTCACGTAAAAACTATGTGAATAAGCTATTGAAGCGGTATTGAAACTTACCATGCGTCAAGAAGCTAACAAACATTTCGTTGACAGCCAGTATGGCTAGAGCATCGCAAAATTGTGCCAGAAACTGCTGTTGATGATGCGCCAGATGGCAGACCAGTTCATAGAGACTACAAGCTGTGGTCACCTCCTCCGCGTTCAGCTCAGCGATTGTCCGAAGTGGACGCTGTTGTGAATGTTGCGTAGGCAGAGAGAACGACTGGCTTGCGGGAAGCGAGGCGGCCGAATCGTTCATTTGACGCTGCGAGACAAGCAGTTTGCAGGCATACATCAGATTCGGTACCAGCTTTACATCAATATACACTTTCTTGATGGCATCCAGTGTATTCGGCTCAGCGAGTACAAAGGGAAGTGAGAGCAGCTGAGCAACACTCAATAATACCTTGGGTATGGCCTTGGAGTTGCGCAAAGGCGCCACAATAATGCTTACCTGAAGAAGATTGGGAAAACATAAGTTATAGATGCACATAGAGAGTAGAAAATAAATCGATTGAGATAGTTTCAAATGGTTTCTATTATCTTACCAGATTGTGCTGCTTAAGTGAATCAAACTCGCCATCGATCACTTCCTGTATGGAACGATGTAAGAATGCCAGCCACTCGTCATTCTCAATAGGCGGGCTTTGAGATTCATCGCATGAGTCCCAACCAGGCAGCAAACAGGGCGGCGTATTACTGCAAGGATTAGTCGTGTGAAGGCTAATAAATTACTAAATGGCTGGTACACTTACTCGTTACTCTGCTTCTCATCGGTGGAGTGCATCGATTGCTTCAGTGGTGCGGCAGCAGTTGTAGGCGCGGCAGCAGTTGCAGGTGCGGGTGCCGGTGCAGGTGCAGGTGCGGGTGCCGCTGCGGTTACGAGTGCAGTTGCGTGCTCTTTGGGTTTTCTATTAAGCTCCTTCTGTTGTGTCAGCATATCGGTTGTCTTACGCTGCACTTCCGGATCAATATTTTGACCCAGGCGGACTGAGAAATTTTCCAGATTTTGACTGAGCTTGCGCTTTTCCAGATCTTTGTTACGCGAGTGTTTTGAGTATGCCCCAGTTTTGTGTTTGGACTTTGTGGGGCTTTCTTCTGCTGTTGCTGCTACTATTGCTGGTGCCCCTGCAGCAACTGCAGCTGCTGCTCCTGTTTCTCCTGTTTTTAACTCTGCAGGCGCAATATTGTCGTTTTGATAATTAAGTATCATATTGTTATTGCCGCTGACAAAACAGGTCTGCGAATTAATTAATGGAATTGCATTGTCCACGAACGCCTTTTTAGGCACCTCCTTGAATGACACATCTGCAAAGGGCACTACTACACGATTGTCCTCAATATCCGTTTCGAGCTGCTCAATATCGCTAGGTGGTATGGCATTGATGCTGTCGCGGGACGTTGATAGGTTGTCATTCAGCTGAACAGCCGCCCTCTCGTTGAGCTTAAGCGCAGCTAAGGAATCCTTTAAATCCGATACACTGTGACTAGCCGAGTTGTGGCTGTAGGAAAAGGAAAAAATGTAACAGTTTTATGAGGTTTGCAAATTTTAGCTGCGTTATTAGAGACCCCGCAATACACTAACCTGTGCTTCTTTGGCTTCTTTGTTTCCTTGGCAGCCTGGGGATTAATAAATGGCGAGTTTTGGGCTTCCTTTACCTCAGGCAGATGCAGCAAACCGTCAACGAAGGGATGGCACAGCAGTTGGGCCCAGGACATCCTCATGCCAGGATCCTTCTCGAGCAACCCTTGTAAAAACGAACGGCAATCGCTGCTCAGAGTACTGGGCCACTTGACTTCATCGTGCTTGATGACCTTCGCTAAATGCATTATGGATGGGGCGCAGAAGGGCGGTTGTGCTGTGACACTTTCATACGCGATACAACCGAGAGACCACAGATCCGCCAAATGATCGTACGGCTGCTGGGCGAGCAGCTCCGGCGCCATATAAAGCGGTGTGCCCGTAATGGAGGTTAGCACATGTGTGCCCAGAGTCATGTTGCGTGCTAGTCCAAAATCACAGAGCTTCGCATGCATGTTTTTATCCAAGAGAACATTCTGTGGCTTCAGATCACGATGTAATATGCGATTCGAGTGTAAATAATAAAGCGCAGAGACCAAATGACTGACCACACGACGTGCATCCTTTTCCTCCAAGGCGCCATTTAAGAGCAGATAACGATGCAAGTCGATCAACGCAAACTCTGTGACTACAAACATGTCGAACTTGGACTCGAAGGACTCTATCATTTCAATGATATGGGGATTTTTCAAACGCGACTGTATGTCACACTCGCGACGCAGATTCTTCAGCTCGCGGTTTGTGCGTCCCCGCTGTATTAAATAATAATTGAACGAATTATTTATTAATAGTACTTGCCAAATTCTAAGTAACTACAACATGCCTTGGAAATAACTTTAATCGCCACCACTTTGTCATCTTCGCGGCGGCGCGCCTTGTAAACACAACCATAAGAGCCTTGACCGACCAGTGAGCTAACCGCATAGCGGTTCATTCTGGTCGTTTGTTGCTGTTTCGCAGCCAGCTAGTTATATTTTTCAATAAATAAACTATAAAATGCTTTAATTCACACAAAACTCTAGACCTGTTGAGCGCCAGGAAATGCGACAAAAAACAAAACAGCTCTATAGCAGAAAAAAGAGTTAGTGCTGCCAGCGTGCCAAAAAAAGATGCAGCCAGTGCTGCCCCTAACCACTAAAAGTTAACTGGGCGCACCGGTATTCGTGAAGCGCATAGCACTCACAGATGGCAGCGCTGAAGGCCAGGCCGCACAGCTGTTTTGTGTTTTTCAGACGACAGCGACCAACTGCAGCTTTTAATTAAAACGCCAGCGTTATTGTGAAATAAATAATGGTTAATAAATTAACGAACACACAGTGTGCCGGAATTCAGTGAGAAGGTAACGCACATTGCAGCAAAAATGCGCGAGCCCAACTTATACGTTATATTATCACACGCGCTAATTGGTGAGTATGCGGCGCCCCAATTGCCGACAAAAAACAACAACAATGAAAGCAGCAGCAACGGCCATCAATATTAGACTACCACTTAAAATAATTTGTTTTCTCAATTTGCCTTCTCTCCATAGGCTCGGGCTTCTTTTTTCTGTATATGCAACATGTGCGCGTGATCTTTGAAACACGTACTAATATCCAGCATTTGAATCAGCTGGAGCGAGAATCGTTGCTGAGACGCGAGGATGCGCTCTACTATACCTTTTACAAGACACTTGCCGAGGGTCCCGACTTTTGGCATGGCTACGAGCAGCTAAAGAATGTCACGGACATCGAGTATCCGCATAGTGTCAATGTGTTGCAACGTTTCTATGTTCTGCCCGAGCTCGTCGCTGCGTAAGTTCTCCAGATAACAATAAGAGTGATGATAAATTAGATTATAAACTTGATAAATTATCTTGCAGCTATTTTTTCCATGTGGTGCGCAATGGCTACAATCCCATTATACAGCCCATGCAGTTCTACTTTGAATTTGTGTGGCTGATGGGCGGCGTAACGCTCCTAGTACTTTATTTATATGGCACGCTGCTTAGCGAGAATGTCTTTGGCGGCATCTATGGCGTCATTTCCTATCTGATGTTTCATAGCTTTGCCTCCAAAATCTACGAGCGTCCCCTGGCACGCGAGAATTTTGCATTTCCTTTCATATTTCTGCAGATGTTTTATCTATGCATTTGTATTGGACGCGTTATACACAGACAGAAGCACACATCTCGTGTGTTTATGGTGAGTATTTAGTATTTCTGTTAAGCACTGCCTCTAAATGTATTGCCTTGCCATTGCAGGTCTTTGTAATGTCCATGTTTACCGCCTGCGCATTGCTGTCGTGGCAATTCTCTTCCATAATATTTACCACACAAATACTGATTGTGATGACGTCGTGGAATGCCATGTCAATGCCCACCTGCTTGGCCAATACCTTCGCCTTGGACTACTCACTGTCGCAAGTGTTGGGAAATGCCATTGCTTTTGTGATGTCTCATGGCAACAGCCAATTGCTCTTCACCTGGCAGCTGAGTGTATCAGTGGGTCTTTTTCTCATCACTTTGATGCGCCAGATGCCTAGTCGACGTCATTCAACTGACGGGCTGCAGTGGGACTATTTCTCCTTTAAATTCATTCTCCTGGCTCTGCTGGTAAGCAGTATGCAGGCCATGCTGCTGGATTGGTTGGGCAAGTCGGGATTTTTGAATGCACAGGACAACACAGACGTACACTATTGCGATCTCTGGGCCTACTGGATGCTGCAAGTGAAGGTAAATTTCGTTACCAATTTGTCGGCCTGTAATCCCCTATATGCGCGGGTCGCCTGGTCGGAACTGTGGCAGCTAGTAAAGACACTAATTGTGAAGCCCTACTGCATGTATGGCGTCGTTATGTTAGCCATGTTCTTTCGCAAATGGCGCAAGAGTAATGTGCCGTCGAGTGTGACTCAAGAGCAGCGCGAACGTGCTCGCAATTATGTGCTGGAGGATTTTCTCGAGGAGCATCATGTGTCCATGAACGACATGTCCAACAAGCAAACCGAACAACAGCTCAAGAAATGCTTTGAAATGCTTGAGAGCTGTGATCATGACTATGAGCGCTACAAGCGTGAAAAGGCCAAACTGCAGCAAGAGCAGCCTCACACGCGCGAAGAATTCATGCAGGACATTAAGCGACTGAAGGCGCAAATACATCGCAACAGCGACAAACAGCGCAAAGAGCGACGTGCCGAGCAGGAAGCGACGGCGAATGAAAACGATACCAAAGATGCAGCACAGCTGCAAGGAGAAAGAGAACTGGAGGAGCAGTCACAACACCCTGAAAACTGTGAGAGCGAAACTGATGAAACTTTGCCGTCCAAAGCGCCAAATCCGGCCGGCGTTGAAGACAGCGGACGGGTCAATGCTGCCACCTCAGCTCCAGCAAATGGCAAGCGTCGTACAACGACGCGTCGCGATGATACTACAACGCCAAGGGCCAATGTCCAAATACTCAATCTACACTACATGTACAGCTTCATGCAAATGATTGTCTTCACTCTGATTGGCCTCACTGTGCGCAAACTGTTCTTCCTGAGCTTTACCCAAGGTTGTGTGATTGCTCCCACCGTTTGCTCCAAGGTCTGGTACCATCGGCAGCGCAACATTTTCTGGTCCGTCTCGCTGGCTGTGTTTTTGCTCAGCATGTTCGACCCGGGCATGGTGGTAAGTAAAACAATCATTGAGTTTTTTTACTGTTTTGAATCCAGAGGTTTAAAGACTAAACGTAGACTTACTAGAGCTTACAAAGTTCTATGTTTTAGCTTTTTCTGCATATTTTTAAATCTATCGGGTTCTTCCAACAGGCAATAACCATAATATTTTAAGAATATCCAGAGTTAAATAACAGTTGATTAAGGCATATTGTAAAACTTGATAATTCCAGAACATACGTGAGGAGTATTTTCCAACGCGTTACACGCACAACGCCGACGATCTGGACAGTATGCTGGAGTGGATTAAACTAAATACAGAACGTGATGCAGTTTTTGCGGGTAAGCTCAAGGCTGTACTTTACAAATTGTAAACTTCTCTCCCCAATGTAGCTTTATATAGTCGTGTAAATATAGGTTGTGAATTGGGATCCGAAAGAGAAAATCATAGCTGTGAGTTCATGAGTCCATAAGCCATGAATCTAACAGATGTCCATAGATTGTCTTTAATATGATATCGAGAGTAATAGCTCTAATGTAAAGTATATTTCCCCACTCTACAGGTCCTGTCGAGATTATAGGCACTGTGCATTTGACAACCAAGCGACCGATTGTGAATCATGCGCATCTTGAAATGCGTCAAGTTGCGTAAGTTCTTTATCTTTGAAAATCACACTCTTGAGTGGCTACAACAATTAAGCAATGCCCTTTCTTTCCCCTCATTCTTCCGCTATAGCGAGCGCACGGAGCATGTATATTCGGTTTATAGCCGGCAACAATCGTCCGATATTTATAATCAGTGCGCTCAATTAAAAATCCAATACTTGATCATATCACTGGACGAGTGCACAAATGAAGTGCGGTAAGTGTTGGCATTCATTCAAATAATTTAACTCTGACTCTCTCTCTCTCTCTCTCTACTTCTCTCTCTAATCTTGTTCTTATCTGTTTTCTGTTTTTGTGCGACCCACAGCGACGATTGTGATATCTTATCCATCTGGGATGACAAACAGCCTGCATATCGCAAATACCCGCAGTTCTGTCACGAACTATTGCATAAGAATGTACCGAGCTTCCTGAAAGTTTATGCGAATGATAACTACGGCATCATCAAGATGTTCTCCCAAAGCGTGCAAATCAACCTGAAGCACAACAAAATGCCCGAAATGTCCATATGAGATATCGACTAGTGCCCCAATTTCGTGCATTCGACATTCGTTGAAATTATTTTGCATATTATTTGCGGCTATTATTATTTTTTTTACATTTAGTATTGGCATTTGCTTGTTTGGGCTGTTGTTCCAAAAAAGAACTCTTAAACAGCCTTTTTCGGAATGGGGAGAGACACTTGGGATACATTTCTTTAGTTGCTTTGCATTTATGGCTAAAATATGACGCGGCATTTATAATATGTGTGTGTGTTTAAAATATGTATTTGTCATGTGTGTGTATGCTCTATCCCGCCCCTTCCTGCTGCGTCGTTCCTATGCCACCAACTTTGCGTCTCATTCAAAATTTGTGTTGTAATTTATGCGAATGTGCAAAATTTTATTTAGAGCATTCCCTCATTTTTACATACATACATACTTATGTACTCGTATGTTGTACATGCATACATACTTATGCATATACACGTACATATGTATACATACTTACACCCTAAATGCATACATAATTATGTATGTTTGTACTCGTATATTTAAATTTAATCTACGGTACGGCCTAAATTAAGTTTCGACTATAATTAATTATTTTTGAGCGTAGTGTTTTACTATATGCGCTTCATCATTTAGTGTCTGTTAAGTATAAGCTAAGCTTTTTTTTAGATTTAACGCAAGCTAGATGAAAAATGTACGCTTGCGCTAAAGGACAAGCCCTGAATCGATGTCAATGCTACGACGTGATTGTATATCCAATGTTGAATGCAATACAATAATGTATCTACAGATGTTTGCATGCATGTAAGTGCAACAAAGCAATTGCTAGACGATTAATGATTCAATAATTATGAAAATAAAGTTGAGTATTTCAAACAGACGACCGTTGTTTTTGTTAAACAAATCCATACATAAATGCGTTAGCCCCAAAAGCTTGCTGATTAATTGAAATTATTAGGCAGATATGCGGCGAAATCGGTCCACATTTGAAGTCCCAGTCGGTCAATCCAAAGGGATACACTCTAAAAAAATTAGGAATATTCGTATCAAACCTTTTTTTGACTGTTCTCTATTAAAATAACCGCTAAAATCTTTTATTCAGAAGATACATACCTTTTGAGTTCTTACATAATTATATTGAAAAGGTATTCCTTGTGGCATATTATGAGCCTGTAATCCATATACTTTAATACACAACATTTGAAAGCAGACAATTCATCCAGTGGATATACTTGTATGTATATAGCTGAACTTTCCACAAAAGATAAAAACGTGTTAAGAAAGTGTTTTTGTAACTCATTTATTATATTCTACAAGACGTGTTGGCAACTTTTTAGATACTGGGGATGTTTTTTAATGCTTTCCTCGACTATTTCTACGGAACAAAACAAATTTCAAACCTATACTCTTTTTATGCCCCATTAGCGTTCAAAGTTGGGAGGATTTTCAAGTGTTATACGCACACAAATGTGAAGTGATGGATGTACAAGGTGCTTTCCAAAGTAAACAGGACTTTTTGACTCTAGCGCCCTCTGGTGGCGCTATCTATATATCGACTGGTGCGTTAGAATCTGCTCTCTTTATCAATTGTCCAGTGAGAATTTCATGGCATTTCATCGATTGGAAGTGAAGTTATTGCGTTTTAAATGTCAGTATGTTTGTGTTATCGGTGCGAAAATTAGCTTCGAACAAAGAGTTTTTAAAATTTTTTTTTTTAAATTGGTAAAACTTTTACCGAATCGTTTCAATTGATGGAACCAGTTTTTGGCGATGATTGCCTATCCCGTAGCAGAGTGCACGAGTGGTTTCAACGTTTTCAAAGTGGTCGTGACGATCAACATGTGGGCCAATCAAAATTCGTGATCACCGAAAATTCCATCGAAACTGTGCGTCAATTCATCAAAAATCAGCCGAAGTCATCATTGAAATTGATGGAAATGGAATTGAACATCTCCAAAACATCGAATTATCGCATTTTGAGCGAACATTTGGGCTTACGAAAGGTGTGTGCACGGTTTGTTCCGCACAAATTGACTGACGACTAAAAATTGCTCAGAATCGTCTCATCGCTCGACGCTTGTGACCGATTATTTGACCAATCACATTTTATTTGAACAAAATAAATTGATTTTGCCAAAAAAAAAACATTTGTTCTGTTTTTTTTTTAAGTCTTGTTTTTTTTTTGGAATGCAGCCCTATCCACTAATATCGATAATTTTTTACTCGACTTATATTCCTGCCTAGCGTGTTAAGTCCTTTGAAAAAAAGTGCGCTGCCTAAAATTAGTTCATTCGCCGTCTGTAGCTCGTGAAGAAAATAAAATCAACTCAACTTGAAAAATTAAAAGGACTAAGACATATTTCCGTTATGCCACTTAGTTTGCCAAGCCAAAAGAAAAGTTGGTGTGATTCTTCCTGAAAAAAAAATGCATATCACAAACTTTTTGTTTACAATATTTCAACTGCATATGTCGCACAGGTATCCAACGAACGACTTACCTGTAAAAATATGCCACATCGAAATAAAAGTACAGAAACATCTCATTTTGTAAACTTATATTTTACTGTTCTTGTCGTATTTTTATGGTGTTTTCCCTTCGCTATTTTGCACATCTGCTTGTTTCTATCTTAGTTGCTTTCATATGCTTAACAAAAAGCCTATAAGCATTAAAAAAAAAAATTAGCAGGCTATGTTTAGGGGGTTTTATAAAGCGCATCACATCAAGCGGCATAGCCTTTTCGGGTATCATGGGGAATAGCGGTCTAATGATATCAGAGTATGTGAACATTTGCTCTAGTTTGTGTGAAATTTGCAATAGAATTGCACTTATAAATAAATATGTAATGCAGATGATCCCTATTGATTCAAATACCCTGTACCCAAAAGGCAGGCCAGCAACTTTTTCAAATGACACGAATTGGCAACAGTTTCCAATGCAGGTAAAATAGTATTAATTGTGGGAAAACTGGAAAAACTGAAAGGCTTTAAAATTATACGATAATGGCAAACCAGCGTTGATTGGTTGGGCAACACTATTATAATTCAAGGATGGGCTTCCTGTAAATGATTTAGATTAAAGCCAAGTGAGTTCATTTGCTATTAACTAGTGAATTTTGGTCACAGAGCACATTATTTACGTAAGTTGCATATCGAAAAATAAAAACAAAAGCAAACTTTGAAAGTTTTAAGGCGACTTGACTCAAACTTGAGCAAAACATCCTTCGTTTTTATAATATAGTCCAGAAGCCAGGGTAAAGGGTATTTAACAGTCGAGCGTACCCGACAGCACCGTTCACATTTGTTCAAGGTAAGCTAGGTAATTGCTTAGAGACTTTGCAAAATATTGATAATAAGGCCAGCTACATAATTCCAATCGACTATATGAATGATAAAACAAATATTGCTTATTGTTGCCAAAGCGCAAAAATCAGGCGAAAGCCAGTTGTCTTAATATATAGCTACAGTCTTTCTTAATTTACAAGTAAATATGTATGTATGTGTGCACATATATACCACATTCATCTGTATACATACAAGTTCATTATGAATGATCATCGTTCACAAGTTAGCATGAATTAGTTCGTTTAAAATATAATTTTGATTTCGATTTATCCTTAAGCTTAACAATTATATTGTTTACTCATTTTTCCCTCGATTTTCGGTTTAGTTTTCGGTTTCGGTTTCTGTGTGTGGAAGCAGTTTTGAATACTTTACTCAGCTACAATAACTACATATTTTTATTATTAATACATTTATTATTATTAGTATAATTAGTATGTATGTGTATAATAAAGTAGCTTTTAAGCCCAACTAAAGCACGTGGCATTGATTTCCTTGATTAATGCCTAATCTGTTTAAAAATGTTTATAAAATTTGTTTATAATACATATGCGTTCAATAATTTCCTTTGTTGTTCTTCAAATAATATACATACTATATATCGTTTAATTCGTTTATCATATATTTTTATGTATAACATTATATATTGGTGCGCGCTACAGTGCAAAATATTTGCTCAATTATAAAATTGTTTCACAGTTGTTGCTAAATCGGAATATCGTTCTTAATTCGTTATCTTCTGATTTCTTAAGTTCTTTTTGTTTACTATATGTTTTAAAGGAAAGGCTGCAAAACGAAACAAAATTCGAACATTCTCATACGAGTATTTGTTTGCCGGTTTTAGTCGCTGGAGCTCTTTTAGAAAATATATATACGTCTATGTATGTATGTAGTAGCTTAAAAGACATTTGCTAATTATATTGATAAGGTATGCAATCGATTTGCAAATCACTTCATTTTTCAGCTACACAAAATTCAAATATATAGTAAGTATTTCTGCGATTTCTTCAATGTTCAATTCATTGTTTGGGTAATTAGTCCATGTTCATCAAAAAACTTGTTTAAAAAGTGAGCTTCAGCAAATTTATCATATTTGGTAATTTCCTTTTAATACAATAACATTAGTTGCTAAACTAAAATATATAAGGTTTTGTGTGTTCACTTTGTTTTGCGTTTTGCAAACTCTATTAATAAATCCTTACAATGTTTTTCAATTGAATTTTTATCACAGCAATAATTTTTTTTATTTATTTATATAATTTCTTTAACAATTGTGTGTGAGTGTGTGTGTGTCTAAGTGTGTGTTTCAAATTTGTGAGCAACATTGTATGAGATCATGTATGGTATTTTGTTTTTATTTTTTTTCTAGCTGAGGGAGGTAAATATCTCGATGAACGGGAAATCGGGAGAGCGCACAAACAAAAATTTCGAATTGTATAATTCAAAATTAGCACACAGAGCGACAGTATCGTGACAAATCGAATTCTTTCATTGCAGTACTCTTCGGACAAATACAAATTGAAACTTATGTAGATACTTGTATATGGTAAGTAAATACTATGTAGTTAGGATTTACACAATTGAAAGGCATGTCAAATTCTTAGTATTACATTCCTCTTGTTGACTGTTGGGGACGCCTCCTATATACTACGTGTCCAAGTATAAGTTGTATAGTTCGTTCGCGTGTAAATACAAGTAGTTGGCGTAATGCTCTCTCTCTAGTCATGAAGCGCACTTCGGGCTCATCCTCATAAGCAGATCAGTTTGTTTTTATACAGTAATCGTTAGCAAATGAAATGTATTATCGTAGGCATATAGGTAGTACGTGTATGTATACTATTTTAGAATTTTATTGTGTTAATGCTAGGGGATTACTTGTAAAGTCAAAGCAGGCGCATTTAACGAGTGGCGTCTATGCATGAAACCGAAATCAAAGTATGGCCCATACATAGCGTTTTAACCGAAGCTTTTTAACTCACAACATAACTACATAACTGACTGACAACCAGACACTTATAGAGTTGCTTTCCTCTAATTGAAATAGGGTAAGGGTATGGGATATTGCACTTTTTGTACTTTCAAATACGTTTGATGGTGGGACCTGTAAAAAATACCGAAACTTTACGCTTAAATTTCTCCATTGTGGGCTCCTGTTCCTCAGAGTCCTCCTCATCATCCACATCCTCGTCGTCATCGCCGAAGATAATGGTGCGCGTGAACGTGGGCACACCATCGGCTCCATCAGATTCACTGAAACCGGGATTAAGTATAATATTCGGTATAAGCTCAATGCTGTCCCAACCATCTTGGAGTTCTTTTCAGCGACAGCGAAATTGAAGGCATTACGTTTACGATTATGCATACAGAGCACGACATACACACAAAGATGGCAAAAGAGGGAGAAAGAGAGAAAGAGAGAGAGGGGGGGGAGAGAGAGAAAGAAAGAGAGACACACAAAAGGGAGAACAAAGAGAGTAGAGCGTTAGGTATTTAGAAATAATTACTTTACCTTTATTTCATTATTTATGATTCTATTTTTGAGTTTTCTCAACAACAAAAATATTGGGGAATCAATCTGTGAGTGTGTATGTGAGTGTGTATGTGAGTGTGTGTAGCAACTGTTGCACTCTATATACATATACAAAGTGCAGGTATGTGTGTTGTGTGTGTGTGTGTGTGTGTGCTTTGCACTTTAGACTCGCCAAAGTGCACTTAAAGTTCTTTATTTGGGGCACACGAGGCGTATACTTGATGCTCTAAAAACAAGCGTTGGCATGTCTGCATGTGTGTGTGTGTATGTGTGTGTGTGTGTGTGTGAGTGTATGTATATTTTATTCAAATGAAATTGTTTTGCGTGTGGTGTTCTTTAAAGCACAAAACTCTAAATTAACATTTATTTTTATTAGATTTTTTTAATAAATTGCGTTTGTTTTGCTAAATTAAAACATTTGATTGGCGTGCCACAACAAAAAGCACATACTACATACAAGTACATACAATTTACAACATCAATATATATAAGTATATGTATATATAGAAGCATTTAAAAATACATGTTGATTATTCATTGAATAGCAACTACAATTGGCATACGTTTGAAGAGTTTTCTGAACACTACAAATTCTTATGAATATTATGTTTTATTAAGACTTTAATTTGGCACTTTAATGCACCTTACGAGTATGTTTTTTCTACGAAATATTTGTTTTTTTTTTTCATCATTTTGGCTAAGGCTTTTCAACTTGGTCTACTTGTAGTTAAAAACTTGGTCGCTCATTCTATTTAGCAAAATTTTCTAATACACCTTTTATACTTGTAATTCAAACATTTTTGTTTTTATAGCTTTGCAGTTAAAAAGATTTTGTTGATTTGTATTTTATTTTGGAGCTATCACAGTTGAGTGCTTGACATTTTCGATTGGTCATATATATATATAAGTATATAGTAAGTGAGTGGCAAGAAGGTTTTGTTGTTTAAAGAGACGGCTTTAAATATTGAAGAACCTGTGTTTAGTTCACATGCAAATTCTTTTGGGTGCATACGAATTTGTATGCACTTATGAAGCATAATTGTAAATACTCGTAGATAGTGTTTTAATGGCCCGCTAGAGACCATTTTATTTAGGCACCTATAGCGACATAAGATTATTTAACATTTCATAAAACTAACAAGCTTTAGATGTGTTCATTGTACTTTTGCTTTCGCCCTCAAGGGGCTTAAGTAATTGAGGATAGTATCTATAATATGGGGCTGGAACACTAACCGCTTTGCACGCTCAGACAGTTTCGATCTCCTTCTGTCTCATACTTTAGTTTTCAGACCGTCGCTTGGCCGTTTTGAAAGCAAACAGCCTACATTGTGGTGGTCTTGTTTTATGGACTCTTTAACTTTTTGTTTTATGCTCTAAAATTATTTGTTAACCAACCAACGTTCCAACCCCAAAATCTGTAGTTAAAAACTAAGTCTAGAATAACATATAGGCAAGGAATCAAATCGATTTAGCTGTCCTTTTAAATCATTTTTAAACTATTTCATAATTAAATCCACTTTTGATTTAAGCTGCTAACCCACATACTAAGTTGTATGGCAACTAAACGAAATCGTATCTCAAATTGTATGTAGTTAAGAAGGAAAACTTTTTACTTGATATATGCAAGAACAATCTATTAATATATATACATATATATACAGAAAGGTATGAGTATATATATATTTCGGTTTAAATCAATTTAGATATTTGAATTTCATTAAAAATTTAACAATAACTTTGCTACTTTTTAGTCTGGGTATAGCTATCAAAAAGATTGGAAATAAGATTGCTATATTTTTTGTTTGTTTTCTAAAAGGTGCCACTTCCGGGGCAGTTGCTAAAAAATATTAAATTGAATCTTAAGTTTCGACTATTTCGTGAGAATTCCTCAGTTAGCCGTCGGTGAATCCTAAGTACCATTCTGGGTTGTTTTCCGAGCTATTTAGATATTTCCAAACGACTTTGAAATGATTGCCCATTGGGTGGAAATAAAACACAATAAAAATTAAGATATTTAAGGAGTCCCTTCATGGTTTGACGGTCTACACATTCCCACATACTTGTATTTGCTCCCAAAAACCGGAGCAGCTTTTTTTCAATTTCAAGAATTTATGGCTGGAGACTATTTCGATGTGATTCCCAGCCTAGGCAGATATGTATTTATGATAGCTCAGCTACTTATGCGTTACAACCTCCTGTTATATTGGCTATATAATTAACATAGTACACACATACACGTACAAGCGACAACAACAAATGAACATATGTACATACATACATATACATACAAGTACATACATACATATGTACACGTATAGTATATTTACAGAGCAAACAGTGGAGCAAATGATAAGCAAATATTTAACTTGTTTTATTTTTCAATACTCTTTTGTTGTTGTCTTTGTTCTGTTTAATAAGCAGTATGAGCATTGCCGAATGCAATACAAGTAAATATGCAGTAGGCACTTGGCTAATAAACAGAGCAGAACAGAATATAACAGAACAGAAGCAATAACAAAGAACGTCAACAACAACAACAACAACAAGAACAACAACAACAACAACAACCATAACAGCAATATGCATGGCATTTGAATAAAGGAGCGGGGTGCGGGCAAAAGGACTTCAATGGGGAAAAGAGAAAACAAAAAAGAAAACAATCAAATGAGAACGCAGAACGAAGAGAAGCAGACATGAAAATCAAATGGGGGAGTCCAAAATGAATTCCAAACAAACGGAATGCCAACGAAAAATATAAAATATGTATGTATGTATATACTATATGTATGTACTAGGCACTATATGTTCGTATATATAGTAAACATATATGTACATATGTAGGTATGTATGTTTGTATGCATATATTGAACAATGAAATTGAAAATAGAATTAAAAGCACATAAAAGGCATTTTGGCAAATGTGCAAAAGCATTTACAACAGCAACAACAACAAGATCATCATTATCATCACGACAACATCAACATCATGATCACATCAATAGCATGGGGGGAATTTAAATTCAAGCTACGAGTTGCAGTTGCATTTGATTTGAGTTTTTGTTTCTGTTTTTATTATTATTTGTTTTAGTGGTGCGCAAACTAACTAAGTTACTAGCAACAATAACAACAGCAACATCATCATCATCATCATCTGCATTATCATTGTGATGGGCATTCAATTGTTGGGCAGCAAATGTAGTTGTTGTTGTTGTTCTTGCTGTTGTTGCTGTTGCTATTGTTGCCACTGCTGGCCTGGAGTTGATGGAGTTAGTTGTTGTACCCATTTGCGTTGATTGATAGCACTCCTTGGTGAGCACAATACAGAGTCCAATGGCTAATATCACAAGTGTTCCAAGCACTATACTGACGGCGACTATCCAAATGCGTGGATCGAAATTATCTAAATCGGGTTTTATAAGGCGTATGAGATCTGTGGCACATCGGTCGTTCGATTCGGTTCGGTTCGGTTCGGTTTGGTTCGATTCGATTCGATTCAAGTTGTAGTTGAAGGGCGCGCGCAATGCATTCGTTTGTTTGTTTGTTGATAGAAAACATATAGAGAGAGATGACAACATTACCAGCTAACAAAGTATTACAGCGATTCGAATTCGAAGACAAATAATACTAAACAGTAGTGGTATGTAGGTATGCTGAGATAATGGTATACATGTATGCATGTATAGAGTATGGAGTGGAATGGATGTGAATTACATATGTATTTACGAGTAACAATACCAATACACTGCTCCTCTAAGGGCAAAACAGTGTGTTTACCAACACTGTGCCACACATAACTGATATCAAAAGTAATGGAGAGAAATAAGGTGGGGAAAACGAAAAAATAAATATAATCGAAATGAAACTACCAGGAACGTTTTACAAATTTTTACACAAATATCAAATGATGTTTAGTTATGCGATTAGGCCAAACAAGTTACACAAATTGGATATTACCTGGTATGTATGTATGTATGTATGACTAGCCTAGCCTAGAAGTATGTAAGTACTAACAGAAACAACATACACATACATACATACAAGTAGCTAACATTGACAGTGTGCAGCAATTTAATCCGCAATTCTAAAATACCGCCCCAACCTACATACATACATAGTACATTGTTTTCCCTCAATCGGAACTAATTTGTTCGCCACCGCCCCCAAAACAGTAAAATGAAAAATGCATGCAAAGAATCGAGCACCACTTACCCTCCTCTTTGGTCTCTGGCAATGTTGTCACATTGGTGGTGACCACCTCACCACTACCCAGCTCATTGTTGGCCCATATGCGAAACTCATAGGTGGTATTTGGGGCCAGTCGGTAGACTTCCATTTGACGCTGCATAAAACGGATATGAAGATTAATTTCGTCATTTAACAATTTCAACATTTCGATTGCCAATTTGTCCAATTGTTTGAGTCAACGCTGCAAGCTCTGCTAACAATTTGAACAATTTGAAGAGTAGCAGAAAACGTAGAGAGTCTTAATTGTTAATTGTTATCGACAATAAATTCTGCATCTTGCCTTCCAGTGTACTCTAAATTCAATATCCAATCACTACCATGTTCCTTCCAAACATACAAGTAGATCCATATCATAATTGGCATTTTTTATATGCTTTATTCGGTGGCCCCGACTCTCGCGCACTAGAGTAGAGCCATCAGAAATATTGTTTCGAATTTCTACTTTTGAAAAACACCGGAAAAATCGGTCTGCATAGCAAGAACAGCATTCTAGGCTTATTTTTCTAAATTCAATATCCAAACACTTGTACTACCATGTTCCTTCCAAATACACAAGTAGATCCATACAATAATTTGCAATGTGTTTGCTAAGGTGACGACTTCAGGGCCTTTTATTTGGTGACCCCGACTCTCGCGCACAGCAGTAGAGCCGTCAGAAATATTGTTACAAATGTATACTTTTGAAAAACACAAGAAAATTCGCTCTGTACAAGTATAGCAAAAGTTTCATTATTATTTATTTTATTTATTATATTTTTAGAGTGCTGCCTTGCTTTGTTTCAGTTAATAAACTCAAAAAGAGTGCAATATTCTGTAGTATCAAAGGTCGTTTGGAAACTCTGGAACGCATGTAAAAAAAAAAACAAAAGATTCTAGAAATACTTACCACATTGGGTGCAATATTGATGGGATCCATGCGACTCCAGGCATGCTCGTAGCTGGCGTTATGCGGCGGCACAGTGTACGACACATTACGGAACTCGGCGGTAAAGCTGCGCACCGGATAGCCACCCGATTGTGTCTTATTGAAGCGCCAGATAAGAAATCCCAATATGGTGGAGGCCTTGAAATAGAGCTGCGTTACCGGACCAGGTGTTGTGCGGACACGCAACAGAGTCCGCTGATAGGCCTGATACTCCAGCTCTTCCTCTTCAGATTCCGGCCTCGGTGTCGTTTCTGTTTCCGAAACCACATCTGGTTCAGACGTAGGCAACTTGGCAGCTTGGCCTTCTTTATGCTTTTCTTCTGGCTTCGTGGCAGGCAATGAGGTAGTTTCAATGGCATGCGTTATTATAGTAGTATTATTATTGTTGTTGCTGCTGCGGCTGTTGTTGTTGTTGTTGTTGTTTCTGTCGCTATCATATGTGGTGGTTGCAGTTTTTGCAATGATTGTGGTTGCTACTGTTGTTGTTGTTGTTGTGGTTGTTGTTCTTGCAAAGCACACATAGATTCCAGCATCATAGGTGCTTACATTGCGAAGCAGCAAAACGCGCCCAGTCTGCAAGGAGATAAATGTACATGTGCACATATAGTAGTATATAGGGTCGCATCCTTCGGCCCTTCAAGGACTCACCTGCACAATGGTGCTGTTGCTGCCATGCTCCTTCACCCACATGACATTGCCTTGCGCTATGCACGGTATGCTAACATTGCCGCCCTTATCCGTCGCGTATTCGTTGTACTTGATGGTGGAGCTGAGCACCGTGAGCACTGTAAGCAGAAGATGGCAAATCGGGCCATTAAACGGGGACATGAGGGCTGCTGATATAGTCAGGAAAGAAACCAATAATTCAGGCAGGAGGAACGGGCCAGACATGTCCGTTTATTAATGGGTTTTGAACGCATTTAAGTGACACATTTCGTTTCTTTCTTTAAATGTTATTGATATAACTGTGTGATAAAAAGGAAAAACAATTTATAAAGGAGAAAGGCAGCAATGGACACCGTATTCCGAAGCCTGAAAATGTGAAGTAGTGGTAGCTGGTACTAATTGAAGAACCAACTAAAGATAAATGTTATTCAGCCATAGGCTAAGCGGACCGACAACTTTATTTTTTTTTTAATTTACGCGCTTTCTTTTCTTAACTTTAATTTTGAACGAAATTTCCATTTTCCATTTTCTATATCTTTGAGCTCTCCTCTGCGCTTCTCATGTCATGGCATCTAAGTGATAAGTCTCTCTGCACGTTGCATCTTGAAATAAATCGTATTGACACTCCAGAGATTGATTATCCAGACAGAGATAGTTTTTGGCACATAACTGAGTTTCTTTAATGATATTTTAGTTAACTTTACTTTTGCAAGAAATTAATTTTTCATTTTCAATATATCTTTGAACCATTTTCTGCGCTTCTTTGCATCTTAAAATAAATAATATATATCGTATTGACACTCCAGAGATTGATTATCCAGACATAGCTAGTTTTTGGCTCATTACTGAGTTTCTTTAATGGTATTTTAGTTAACTTTACTTTTGCAAGAAATTAATTTTTCATGTTCAATATATCTTTGAACCATTTTCTGCGCTTCTTTGCATCTTAAAATAAATAATATATATCGTATTGACACTCCAGAGATTGATTATCCAGACATAGCTAGTTTTTGGCTCATTACTGAGTTTCTTTAATGGTATTTTAGTTAACTTAATTTTGAGCGAAACTAATTTTTCATTTTCAATATCATTGCGTTCTCCTCTACGCTTCTCATTCCAAACATTAATAAGAAATGTCTGCGCTCTCTGTGCGTTCCTATCAGCCCGACCATTACGATTGATTAGCATGATAGACGTGGTTGCTGGCAAATTGGCTTACGTGGTCGGCACTTGCTTTCCATCTAGTTGCTCCGGATATGTCGCGTCGTGCGGAACATTGCCTGGAAATCTACTTTCGTTTGCTGGCGCTCAGCTGCAGCGCTCGGAGCCGCTTCGGCCAGATTTTGCTCAATTTCTATATGGTCTTAGCCATGGCTGCGGGTATCTTTGATCTCTTTACGTACTTGAATGGCTCGGATATCTGGAATTTGAACGAAACTCAACAGCCGCACCAATTGCAGTTCAAGTTCTATGTGGGCATCATCGAGGGCGTCAATGTGGCCTACAAGGTGGCCCATGTGCTCTTCATACTTCATTCCCTATTTTGTCGGAAACAGGAGCGTCGATTGCTTGGCCAACTACCAATTTTGGGAAACAGTGGCCCATCCTTGGTGCATACCGAGATGTATCTGGCCATGGAGTGTCTTCTTGTGGGCGCCACCGTGATGCAGATCTTCAACTATTCCAACATGGGCAACGAATTTTATTCACAGCTCTTCTACAATTTTCATTACATCTTGACCACCCAAGCGATTCGGGCGCGTTACCTACAATATGCAATGCTCGTGTCTCGTCTCGATAGCCAACTGGACCTGCTGGCGCAACAGATACGAGAAGGCAGTGAGAGTATTTTCCAGTTACGCGGCACCTATGCCCGCTTGGCCCATGTAGCCAGATCGCTCTCCGAACTCTATGCGCCCGCCATGCTGATCATGAATGTGCTGTGCGTCGGGGACTTCATTATTGTCTGCTATGCCTATATTATGGTCTGGGAGTTGGAAGCCTTTATTTTTAATTGGCTGCTGCTCTGGCAGACCATTCACGTCCTCTCGGCTACGTTCATAAAACTGTGGACCTTATGCTCAGTCTGCCAAAGTTGCAGCACTAGGGTAGGTAATGCATTCATACATAAGTAAAATATACTACAAGTATATGTAGTATATTGTTCGTCAACTTGTTCCTAATTTCCTTCGATGATTTAGTTTAACTTTTCCTCCACATCCTTTTAATTTAATTGCCTTCTACCTCTTTAGGACGATTGGGAAGCAACAACACGAATCGAAATCAAGAACTCCTGTCTATTCGGCATAAAGTTGTGTTTGTGCGTTTAAAAACTTTTCGTTTCAGTCATATGTGCTTCATTCATTTGGACCCACCGGTATTAGAACAAGTTCTATAGCTTATAGCTAGTAAACTCTCAAATACTCTATAGCTACCCTTTTCTCTGTTATAGCCGTTAATGTTAAACATACTTTGTTGTACGATTGCTAATGATTTTTATGACAAGTATATGATATAGTTTACCGATCAAATAGCAGTTTGTAGAAAGCAACAGAGGTTTCCCTTATCTACTGATCTTTCCAATAACAGCTCTCTGATATGATCAACCGATTTTGACAAAAGTAAACATTATAGCGAGCCACTTTTTAAGCACCATGAGTTACAAACTTGGCTACGATATCTTAATAAATGAAAAAGTTAGCATAGTTGTACAATGATTTTTTTCGCCGATAGCTTCAATGGCAGCTATATAAATTAGAGATGCAATATATGGTTGGCAATAAACTTAAGCTGCATATGAATAAGTCAAGGCTATATACCAAGTTTGGTGCCTCGAGCTGGTATGGCATAAAAATTCTCGGTGTTCATACGGACGGACAGGCTAACATGTCTATATCGATTCGCATCCTTCCGCCAGTTACATACAAGTACATACCCTTTCTCTCGGATAATACTCATACTTAGTTCGAACTGTTTCAACAACTATTTACTACTTATTTATATATGGAAGTAAAAACAATACACATTACAAATTTACGAAACTACTTGTACATCCAATATTTATGAAAGATATGTTATTTGCTCGTCACGCAAAGTATTTTTTTTAAAAACTATTTCGTAACAAGACAATATAACCCCAACAGCCAGCTTATCATCGGCAAGGTCATATTATTTTGGATATCTTTATTACTTGTACACCAAATGAATTCAACAAAGTGAAATTTTCTCATCTAAATAGTAATTGGTATACCTCTCTGGCTCCTCTCGATTTCAGTCCCAACAGTTGCTGGGCCTTATTAACAAGAGTCGCTTTTCCAGCTCCGAAATGGACAACTTTGCTTTGCAAATCATGCAGAACGCCATAGAGTTCGACGTGTATGGCATTTATCAACTGCATCGGAAAACATTCGCAGCGGTGAGTAAGTAGTGCTTTCATAACTTCAAGTTTTCGCTGAACACTCATCGATTTTTGCAGATTTTTATTTTCATTTTCGAGTCTCTGGTCATTCTGCTGCAATTTGTGGTACTAACCAAGCAGCAGAGCAGTTAGGAAAAGCGCTGACAATAGCAGCAACGACAACATTTTAAAATTCTCAAGGAGCTTAAACAGCTTCAATGTCAACGGCGGGGCAAAGTGAAATAAATAAATGATTATATTTGCTTACAAATTTTGCTTCAAAGCTGGTTTGCGAGTGTGTAGGATCCTGGCCCAAGTATTTGAGTCCCTGCTTACTTGCTGGGCATATTCAATGCACTGGTCTGGGATCCGAGCACGAGGTCGCAAAATCGTTAAATGAAATTTGTTCTACAAGTATAAATGTTTGCTAGTCACGCAAACCACACACATACTTATAAATGTCTATGTAGTACGAGTCTGAATGTGTAGGCCTGCGAGGGTGCAGCTTAAATTTGATGCATATTTATGGCTACATTTTGGCTTATGGCATTCAAACACACACTGCCACACACACACACACACACACACGCACAGGCACATTAAATCTTCAAGCCATAACTCACATATATTCAATTGAAATCTAAGGCTGCTGATGAAGAAATTCAAAAAACGTATGGCTTTTTTTTAAGTCGGCAGTTAACGACAACGAAATACACTGAATCAATAACAATGATTCTTCAGTTTAAAATTATAGAGTCCTTCGCATAGGCTTCAAATGTGTACAGCTCAGTAATTAATGCACTTTTATAAAAATAAAAAAAAAGCTAGCTTGCCACTTTAGAAAAAACAACCAAACTTTCACAAAAATGAAATACAAAAAAAACATATTAAAAATTAAATATTGAATACAAAAATGTATAAAAATCTAATTTTTATAATTGGTTTTTTTCCTAAAGCATTGAAGAAATCATAAATAATATGAAATAATTTCTTGCCCTAACTCGATAAACGAAGAAAGAAAAGAAACTACCTTTCTCTTTTCAAGAATACATCTCTAAATTATTTGTAAATTTATGGAGAAGTTTCCTATTTCATATAAAAAAGGAGAAATTGGAAACACTAGCCCGTTTGAATGTAAGGAGGCTAAATAAGTATCAAAGAGACTGCTTATTTTGAATCATCTTATAGTGTACATAAAATCCAGTTTCCATCTTGATGTAGAGTATTAAAATTATGGCATGTCGAATATGTGTATCGGTGCTTTTTTCCACTTTGTTTTATTGGTGTGGCGCTTGCCTTGCAAAGCCTTGCAAAGCAAATGGAACTGGGCCCATAAACAAGGCAATGGTTGGTTGGGCTTTCCGAAGAGCTGGCTTGAAGGTGGCCCATGGCTCAGGCTTCGAGGCCTGAGGCGCAAAAGAAGGTGAGCTAAACTGGTAAGTAGAGATGATGGCATTAATTTAAAGAGCTACGAATCGCAGCCTTCACATCCGGCTTCTGCTCGGCGGCTAGCATTGCAGCTGCATCTAGTGTCGATGGAGTTACGCTTAAATGTCAGATGTGAAAGGGTATGCGTGTGTGCAGTCGTGGGACTTGCGGAAACGAAACAAAAACAAAAAAACGGAAAACAGCAACTTGCTGCATGTTTTATGTGTGCCAGGGCAGCAATAATGTGGCACACACTCGAACACACATGAACAACAGCGAATGGCAACAACATGA